AGTCCGAAGGGAGGATGGAGCGGTTGCAGGCTTTTATAATTCTGTAGGTTCGTATTTGTTTCGCAGATCTTGCAGCCTTCAATTTATTTCCGTTCTCCAAATTCATATCCAACTTTTCTCCTTCCCCATTCATGCGATAAATGGAGTAAAATATCGCATATCGAAATCAATTCTTGACTCTCTGAGGTTGAGACAATACAACTTTCCACCCTGATTGGAATAGTAGAATGTTGTACTGAAGCTCAAGATATTATTTGATTGTCGAACTTCAACTTAGATATTGAAGAGATCGTTTCGAAGTATTATTGAATTTGGTATGCGGTTTGTTTCATTAATCTTTTGGTTTCTGTTTCCAAGTCTAATTTGATTCGTTATTATCCCCTCAGATATTCTTTTGGCTAGCAATTACTGAAACGTGGATGCAGTTGAAGTTACTGCCCAAAAGCTTAACGAGAGAAGGCAGTCGATGTTGGGATCATTGGAGATTCCAAATGGATTGCAACAAGGGACACTTGCTAGCCAAGTTATGCCTCATTTAGAGTCAAATCCACTAGATATTCCCATGGCAATGTTATACCAGGTAGACGAGCAAAGTTTTTCTGGGTCTACGGTTTATTTGCGGGGTCAACTGGGCTTTCCCGAGAACCACCCACTCGCCGTGCCGGAAGCTACACTCAGCAGCTGTCTTGGTCTATTTCCATTGTTGCGTAAAACAGGCAATAAGATTTCGACTCATTCTGTTGATGAGAGATTTGAGGGAGTCGAATGGCGTGGCCACAAAGATGATTTTACCCAAGCTTACGAACCATCGACACATTTTAGTATACTTCCAATCTCGAGTGCTGATCGTATGTTTGGCTATTTGATACTTGGCGCCAACTCTTGCCGACCAATTGACGATACCTACGATCGATTCATAAATGCTATTGCCTCGAGGGTGTCATCAATTGCATCTGCTTTGGCTAGCGCTGAGGAAACAAGGCGGAGGGCTGATCGGTTGGAAAAAGAACTAGCTGAAAGTGAGAGACAAATCAGATATATGGCACAGAACGCTCCGGTTGGTATGCTGCAATTATCGACTGAAGGTAAGATCCTCTGGGCCAATGATATGTACTACCGAATCACTGGTCACCCGGGACCTGAGGAACCACAGTACAACTATTCCTTTCTCGACGTCTTGATTGAAGGAGACAGGTCTAAAACTTTACAAGCTTGGGTGCAACTTCATGATGGATCCTCTCACATTGAGACTGCATCACGGCTCAAGCGTATGTTCGTACCACCCAGTGGGGAAGCCGAGCATGCTTGTGTGCTATCATTGGCATTCCCGTATATTGTTAATGGTGAAGTAAAATCCATCATGGCTTGCTTCACGGACATCTCTGAGCTAAAATGGGCCGAAGCAGCGGAAGCAAGAAATGCCGAGGAAGCACGCGCGGCCAAACGTCAACAAGAGGAGTTCATTGATGTTGTTTCTCATGAGATGAGAAATCCTCTTTCTGCCATCTTCCAATGCGCCGACATGATATCAAATTCCTACAAAGATTTATCGCATACAAATACTCTTGAAATCTTGAAAAGCAATGTCGAGGCCGCTCATACGATAGCTATGTGTGCCAGTCATCAAAAGCGTATCGTTGACGATGTCTTGACACTCTCGAAGCTCAAGTATATGATGCTGTCAATTTCGCCGCATTCTGCTAATCCAGCAAGGATTCTGGAACAGGTCGTCAGAATGTTTGAAGCGGATTCAACGTCCCACGATATCTCAATCAAAACAATAGCTCAACCTTCCTTCGGCGCCAATAAAATTGACTTGGTCATGTTTGACTCTTCGCGTGTGAACCAAATTTTGATTAACTTACTAACAAACGCGATTAAGTTTACGAGGGGTGAACCAAAGAGAAAGATCACAGTCACCTACGGTGCTACTCTTGTTGATCCAGAGAAGAACTTCAGTAAGGAGCTCTACTGGGTACCATGCGGGGATAAGATTGAAGATTTGACGCTCAATCCTGAGTGGGGCTCTGGTGAACCTGTGTTTTTAACATGCGCAGTCACAGATACAGGAGTTGGCATGCGTGCTGATGAGATCCCTCGCCTGTTCACTCGCTTCGAGCAGGCCAATTCGAGAACCTCTATAAAATATGGTGGATCCGGTTTAGGATTGTTCATTTCTCAGAAGCTTGCCGAAAAACAAGGAGGTAGAATTGGTCTATCTTCCAAGTTAGGCCAGGGGAGTACATTTGGGTTTTACGTCAAGGTACGACGTAGTGTTAAACCACGAAGAGATATCCGTCCAAAATTGATACCAGTACCATTCGATGGATCTTACTATGACGGATCGAAGCCTATGCACGTTTTGTTGGTCGAAGACAATTTGGTCAATCAGAGGATATTAGAGAAGCAGTTAAAAAAAGCCGGGTGCATAGTCTACGTTGCCAACAATGGGCTAGAGGCTTTGGAAATATTGAGACAATGTTCCTGCTGGCATGAGCCGGTGAAAGACGCGAAGAAATTAGATATCATATTGATGGACTGGGAGATGCCTGTCATGGATGGTATCACTTGCAGTCGGGAGATCCGAGCATTGCAGCAATCTGGAAAGATCGTGAGGCATCTTGAGATCATCGCAATTACTGCTAATGCCCGTGAGGAGCAAGTTCAAGTGGCATTACACAACGGTATTGTAAGTCTCCGAAAAATTAGTTTGAAGCGATTCATCATGCTAACAGGTGTTGCTGTAGAATTTTGTAATGTCCAAACCTTTCATAGTCTCGAACTTGCTGTTAAAGATGAGAGAAAGGCTTAGCGGGATCGAGAATGGAACGAGTTTTCAGTGAATGAATACGATTCTGTCCATGATGGCAGTAGGAGTGCCTATGAAGAGGCGATTGATATCATCCCGTCTTGTTTTCTGAATGGCTTTGCGTTATTCGCCAATCGCCCAAGCCCTTCTGAATAGAAAACGGAAGTCGCGGATATCCAGGGCAATGACTGTGAGCATATACGCCCAGCTCCCCTGTTGATGAAGAATGGTGGGAATGATACCAGTATGTTGGAGAGAACGGGAGCAACCACGGATATGAAAGAATTTAATGCCAAACCAAGATTACATGTATTAATGTTTTCCTCATCAAGTGAAACTTATGGGCATTTGTTTGGATCAAATACCCCATGAAACCACCCCCAAAATTGTTAGAAGTCTGTCAGGAGCACAGGTAGTGATAGGAAAACAGCTAGACTTACTTGAAAGAACAAAAAAGGGCCATTTAGGTCGGTTCATTCTAGGGTGTTTTTGTTATCCATTGGATAGTATTAGCAAACGATAGAATAAATAAAGTTACATCAAAGTTCGAACAAAGCCTATACAATTTTAACTTTACACCGGATCAAGACCAGTCCTCCCCCCTTTCCTGAAAGATAACAGGATGTATGGAAAGTATCATCAAATGTGACCCGGTAAATACATTGTCCGCAGCGTTTCGGTATGGAACCTTTACCATTCAAGGATTCAGCATGTCAATCATTTTACTTTACGCGCCAATGACAAATTCTAGGACAGTCATTGAAGACATTGCGATCGCAAGCTGGATTATACAAATGAATCTAAATTGATTCCTAGCATTTAGAGGCGTACTGTCAGATTTTCCACATGTGCATTATCGAAAAGATTACTTACCAAGTCCACGTTCGAAATCTCGTTTTAAATCATAGTCCCAGGTATTGTGGAATCATCCTAACAACATTGAGGGATCTCCCCAGTGTTCGGTTCTTTTGAAATACTAGGTATCAGCCTGTAAAGAATGTCAGTTAATCGTCGGTTACAACAAGATGAATTCAACACAATAATACATTAAATTAGACACCATATTCCACGTGTTCTGGCGATTTTTTCAAACACGTCCTCTCACCTATCCTTTTTAGATTGCGCTTGGTTGTTTGATCTTATATAAATTCCCAGTCACATTGCACTGATTACTCTTTACTGATTGCTCACTAGGCTATATGATTGATAGACCAGCGTTGCAGAACTGATTTTATCTTTGTTCTCTAGAACAGTTACTTTCCTTTTCGTCAACTTTTGCTCATCATGACGGTGGCATCCGAGAAAGATGTGTCAACAATTACAGAAGTAGAGAAGCTCAATAGTGAGGGAAATGTTCTCTATAAATCAGGAAAACTTCTTGAAGGTATACTTTGAGCTCTTTCCTGATATTTTGATGACAAAGTAATTGACATCATTCACTCACAGCTGTGACGAAGTATCAGGAAGCCATGGCAGCTGACAAAACTTCTGGGCCCTGCACTCTGAAACCTTTTCGCAATATGACTGCTGTTTAATTTGAGCTCGGCAGGCATACTCAATGCCGCGAGAAGACGAAGCAAGTGGTCGAACTAATTCAGGAAACAATGCCAGAGGATAAAGCTGTCCTTGCGAAGCTTGCGCAGCGAATAGAGAGATCTATTGAACATATTCCCAAATCTTCAGATCAACAGAATTTTGACAGACGTCTGAAAATCAGTGTGTCTTTACCACGCTGCCGTGCTTCTCTATGAGTCCTCGGAAAGTTCCACTTGTACATACCTGAGACTGACAGTTGTCCAGGGTTACAACGACAGAATACTCTACGGTCGGGCACGATGTTCCCGAAAGCCTCTCCCACGGGTTCATGCAGAAACTCCGTCGAGATGGTAAAGACAGGACACTTTCAGTCTTTTTCGGTGGCATCGGGGATGCTCGCAATTTGTATGCGGCGATGATCGATCTCTATGCGTCAGAGAAGAAGGGAATCGCTCCTCTCAGGAAATACCATCTCGTCGCAAATGATATCAATAAGTGTGCTCTTACCAGAAACCTCATCATATAGAAGTTACTAGACGTTCTCTCAACATTATCGCATGACTCAGATGAGGGAATGATGGCTTTAGCCACTATTTTTTTCATCTATGAAGTGAATATAATGCCCAACTACATACACGAGTATCTAAGCGCAATCATGGAAAAGATTCTTGTAATTTTACAAGAGGTATGTGAACCTTCTATATGCCGATCAGCTAGGATATTCTTTTTCTTTGCTCCATCGCGACGATTGAGAATTCTGTTTCTTTTCATTTTTATAGAACTATGATCGTCTCCACAGCCAACAGGATGAAAGATACATAATTCTCTAGAGTTTCCGCCTTTGTTTGAAGCATATTTGATTAGGTAGATTTCACTAATACTATGGCTCTAGGGCAATTCCCCACTTGAATGGGTCCCGCTTCATGCATCCGATATGGCTAAGTATATTGGCGTCCTGAATCATTGGCTCAACAAGAATGATGATGGCTCCTACAGCTTTACAAGCTCAGAAGCTATGCGGGATATTCATAAGGAATTGTCGGATCGCCCTCATTTCCTTGACGAGCATTTCAAAAAGGAAAAGCAAATCTATGTTAAATACGGAGTTTTACGACCACCAGAAAAGATTCTTATGTCTCGTGAGCCGAGATTATCAGGGCTTATCAAAACTCCATCCAAGTCAACTGAGCTACGTAAATATATCGAGAAAAACTGGAAGTTCACCCCAACCATGATGGACTCCGATTGGTATGATGATATGCAAAGAAGGAACCGGTCCGAAGAGTTTGATTGGGGCAATGACCCTTTCGAGGCTGTCCTCCAGTTCGAGGCTTTTCACAAGAGGAGAAAACCTTCAAGCCTATTCGATCATGTGGCTCCGTTCTTCCAAGACGCAGCAGATGCACTCAAGAAGTTGAAGGGAAGATTCCATGTTGAAGTTCTCTGCGGGGACATTATCGACATATCCGAATGGTTCCGATTTGGCACTTCGCCCACCAGATTTCCACGATCAAAGGAGTTTCCCACAGAGTTTGATGGTATTCACCTGAGTAACATTCCGTAAGTCATCTCCAGTCTTAATCTAGAGTCATTTGTCCTTTAAACCATTGGTCAAACCATCACACTTTTCTACTCATATTTCTCTTTTGCCACATCGAGATTGGAAACATCAATGGTAAAGCTGACTTGCCTTCATAGTGATTATATTGGTGGTAATTTATCTACCTTTCTATACATTGCTCCGCTTTTGAAGAAAGAGGCAACCAGTTTTGTGCGATCCAATTGTTTGCGTAATCCAGGAAACTGGAAATCAATAGAGGCATTTTTTGCACATTATCAATGCATCACAAACAAGACTATGCTAAAACAACTCACTGGTGTGGAAGTCATGCCTCGACCTTTCAAGTGGGCAATGTTTCCTTTAATTGAATACACCTTCTGCAGCCACGCTCAACCAATATCAGAAGACGACTGGTCGGCTTTGTTGCCTCGAAGCGAATTCCAAAGATGGTTCTACGCTCTTTTTTTTTAGACTTGCATTGCCTTACAACGTCAACATCTTCAATCTTAACACAGTCATCTTCTCGCCTCTCAATCTCACCATCCTCTTTCGTTTAATGGATCAACTTCACTCGCGTCATTATCCATCTCATTGGATGTCAGAAATACTTTCGAACATCATCGAAAATGAAGTTGTCAGTAGCTGTCGTCCTCCAAGAATGACGCCAACATCTGTTTCGGCATTGGAAAAGCAGCACAAGACCAGAAACCTCTGCACCGCTCCGTTCTCACACGAAATGGCAACTCTCACACAAATGTTTATGCCGCTACTCCCTTTTAGTCTGGAATCATCGGCTATCCCGGCACAGAATGATATCTATAGATATACCTTTCCATTTCCTAGCGTAATCAGTCATCAAGAGTTGCCAAACACCCTCATACTCGTATTCTGGAGTCTCAAATATTTCATGGACTTAGGCGAGATGGGTAGCCGGTCGTTCATCAATGATCTGCGTCCTTTATTGGATCCTACGTGGGGAGATGAAATGGATAGCCGGTTCAGGGGCTCAAAATCCGATACTTTTAGAGAGAAAGGATTGATTGTATGGAGTACTCTGGAGTGGGATGTTGAAGCACAAGAAGCAACTGCTTGGATGCCTTGTACGCTGGTCAATAGAATGATTAGGCAGGGAGATTGGAATTGTGGCTTGTTCAGAACTGACACATGGCAAAGATGTTGGCAAAAGCCGCTGATGATGAAGGATGTACGGAGAGACGAGGTTTGGGAAGAATGATATTACTCAAAGCTGCAGATTGATGACTTTTGGATCTTGTCAGGTCGATGTTGATGAATAATGGGGACCAAGAATAGGGCCGTGTACGCTGCTCAATACTGAAATCAATTACAGCAGTATCTGATTTTAAAGTAGAACTGTCCACAAAATGCTGTCATTTTGTGCATAGAACACATCACTCTTGAATCGATCATCAGCCAATTAAAGTCGTGACAGATACATCTCCCAACGCCTTCATTTCGATCAAGGTTGAGTAGGTATAAGTTTCTATGAACAATCATCCTCTAATACCCTTGAAAGCGTGTGTAGCATTTTTCAACGACTCTTGAAATGTAAGTGCGCTTCTGGGATCAAAGTTTTTGATCTTTCTAGCACATGGTCCAACCATTCTATAACTAAGGAGCGCTATATAATCATCAAATGCGTCTCTCTATCATCGCTATCAATTCTAAGGCTTGTATTAGACGTGGTCGAAGGGATCTTACAGCCCAAAAATCAGATTGAAAATCTCACCATCATAGCTAGACTGATCTCTCTCTGGCTGAGATCTTTTGTCATAATCATAGAGACTTCCTACTGGCTTCTCGTCGGAACTATTCTCTGGAAAGTGACGTTTGTCCACCCATGGGGTAGAAAATCGGTTCCTCTTGAAATACTTGTATGGATACGCAATTGGAGGATCAAACCTATTGTATGTTCCGCGCACAGCTTTACTAGGCTCTTCAGCCAACCTCATCTTACCACCATCAAAGTTTTCACCCATTTCCCATACTCCAGATCCAACCAGAAGAAGGCGAAGCTTAGGCAGATTATTTTGCATCTTCTGAAAATAATCGGCCCATTTTGTTTTGTAATGCCAGATAGTGGGTTCGCCTGAAATAAGCGTCAGTATCTATAATCTCGAGTCATCCTCAGATACTATCACCTCCATTATCCATGGGAGTCATCGCATAGTTCTCATCATCGAGATCGCCCAAGTGTCTTATACCTGCGAGTATTGGACAATCGTCGAGTTTCAGAACTTCCAACGTCTCTCCATGAGATAAAATCCAGTCCAATTGCCAATCGTGCGAGAAAGTGTAGTTGCCCAATTCCAACTTCTTCAATTTTGGAAAGTGCACATCCCTCCAATTACACTTTGGAAAATATCCCCACCAATGAATACAGTGAATAGTAAGCGAGGTGAGATTGTCAGCACAAGGGGCCAACCATGTAGAAGGCAGCTCTGTAAAGAAATCATGCATAGGCGGAAGAGACCATGAAGACTCAGGAGTTGCTTTTTCGTATTCGACAACGATTCTCATACGCAAGCTTGTGATCCTTTTCAAAACCGCAAGGAAGTCTTTCGATCCGGTCAAGCTCGAATCATTGACATTTTGTAGATTCTTGAGAGAAAGCGTGGTGAGTGAAGGTGTAGGATACCTTGGGTCATTCAAGGAACGAAACAATTCTTTGAGGACAGCGGTACGATATTCATGGCTGTCTTCTGCTGGGGTGAGATAGAATCCTCTTTCATCCTCCTCGCCCAAATATGTACAAAATTCTGCAAATTCGACTGCGATGGTGGTCAGGTTAGGGAACCTGTTACATTTTTCGATAATTCTTTTGATCGAGATATTGAAATGCTGTGGGGGGTGTTTCTCCGCGTAGGAATTGAGATACGAATTTGCATAGGGTTCGCGACTGGTGGTATAACGGACAGAACGAACTGCTTGCTTGAGAAGTGGTACACAGGTGATCTTCTCCAAATTAGTGAGTGGAATGGTTGAGTCTATCTCTGCAACCTGTTCAGACCCCTCGTCTTTATTATCGTCATCGTATCCTTCATTTAAGCTTTGTAGATTCACACTACAGTGTGAGAAGAGCTTTTCAGTGACTATAATTGAAAGTGGTCTCGAAACAAGACGGAGGTTCTTGAGATCAGAGGTGTTCGTTACCCCCTTGGCGATCAAGCGAAAGATTTCCGCTGGAATTTTGTCCATTTTCAATTGATGCTAGGGGCAAGATATCTGGAGCTTATCTTTTCAAACCTCAAATCAATGGTAGTACCGGTAGAGGGTAGCGAAGGCTAATGCGTACAACTCGTTCCAAGAGGTGCATTAGGTTTCGGAAAATAATCTGACTCCTATTTCTTGGAAGAAGTAATTAGAAGTCGATTTCTGGACACCAACCAAGAATCATACTCAATATTAAGACAATTCGGACTTGCAAATCAACCAAGCATCTTATTTTCTCAGTCAGGTATATTTTCCACGTCGTTGCCGACCGACAAACTTCCAGTCCAGTTTTGATACTTTTTGCAAAATTTGTTATAACCGGTGGCTTGAATGGCTTTGACTGTATCCGGCTTCGTAAATTGCGACTTCGGGGGAAGTTGATGTCGGTTATTAATTGCAAGTGAGACCAAAAACCTTCCTCTCCACCATGTGATGTTGTGAGCTTATCTCACGTGATCAAACTTCGATCGACCCGATTTAAACATGAGCTCAAGAGAACATGTCCTGAGGCTCCAAGTGAAGGTTAACTCTGGCTTTGGGAAGAGAGGCTACAGCATATCCTCGATCGGTAGCCCTTTCTTGAAGCTTTAGCCGTGTCGACACTGTCATTTTATGATTTTCTAGTGCTTTCCACCCCCTCTGGCTCAAATTGATCGTAGCACGCACGAATTCTGTGGATTTCGACCCTTGATTGCCGTGATTTGTGAAACAAATAAGGCAAGAAGCCTGGCGTCAGCACTCTTTATTCTAAAGCCCAATCTACCTTGACGTGCCCTCGTCACAAGGGGAAAAATTCCCTGGTGCTCCAACAAATCCTGGAGTTCGAGAACCTGCAGCCTGCGAGTGTCGAAATTTTGCAATTGTTTGATTCCAAATATCTAAGCTTCCAAAGCTCAGATGAAGTATGCATTTTTGTCCGGAGCCATAATCAGCTTTCCGAAAATTGCAATTGCAGTAATATTTGTCCATCGTCTGGAATCTACCACATCACTTCACAAGAAACATAGCAAATTGGTTTCTGGTAGTGGATCCTGATCAGGAAACAGTCAGTATCCTACGAAGATCTCTGTTAGCACATTAATCGAGAATTCTCAAGACTTCATGTCAATGTGACTGGCCTATGAGATCCGAGGCCGACTATTCCAGGACAGCACTTCAATATCTGAGTTCTCACATCCCCAAATTACCATAAATAATTTTTGGTCTTTACTGCTACGATATTACACCATAGTCTCGTGATCAAGACCTCCTTCCACGCTAGTCATCACTAGCTCAATCCAAAATTAGTGTTTTAGACTGTATTGGGAGGAATTTAGCATTGAACCCCGCTCTTCACCGACAAATTCACAGGCACATACAACGGGATGGACAGTAAAAGTATAAAATAGTCGAAGATAGATGTTAGTGGATTATTGGGAAACTATGATGCTGTATGGACAAAAGTTTCGTATGGCCTTGAATAAAAGGGGTAGAAGTTTCTTCAGGGCATTCAGCTCAGAGAAACTTGGTTACATATGACTTTGACCAAGTATCTTGATTTCATGAAGTATACAACTGAACAGTCTGATAATTACAGTATGTCATCTGCCCTCTGACTTTGGGGCAGAGACCATAGCACCGACTTCAATCTCTTCCATCCTCTCAATTCCCTCGAATTAAGCTCGTAGTCACCAGACCCAAGCCAAGGTTTGCATGGACAGACCTTGAGTAGAAGTGCAGGGCTCTTGAGTATTGGTACGTCAAGCGTCATCGACAGCGGAGAGGGAAAGTTTGTGTAGTCAGAATGATACAATGAGTACGAGACGTATTGACATGTTTCAAGAAATCCGATCAGACAAAACACACCCACCCTTTGGCTCCTTGACTTTTAAAGATTTACATGTAGATAGCTGCACGTACGACTTTGTCCCTTGAAGTTGATGACTCCTTATGCATCAAATCATGACATAGTGTTCTTATAGTTGGGCTGTTCAATTTTCGTGACTTTGGACGATCACTTAGTAGCTCATCCAGATGCACGGACGATTTCACGCGAATTTTGGCGACGACATGTCGCTCTCACGCACGCTCGGCTATTGCTGAAACGGTAATCATCTCACACACGATGTCCATTATTCACAATACTTTCATTTCATCAATGTTTTATTGAACTGACTCCAGTATGTCGTTCTACGGTAAATTCAATTTGAGTTTCTAGTTAAGCTTTCAGTGGATTTGGTAAGTGAAATATCAGTCTCAAGGGCTAAAATCGAATGGCATACAGCGTGATGCACCTAGTAAACGATAGTTCAGTCCATATAGAAATCGCCACTTTTCATTTTGTATACATATCTCAGTCTCTCCCCAGAGAATCAATTTGAAAATTGCATTCGAATACCGATTTCATAGTCTCGTCTTAACGCCTACCATCAATTCATCACAATCCTCCATTGAAAACTATACAATTACAATCTACAATTCTCTCAAGTAAGTTGAATCTTCGAGAAGCCGAAAATTCTTTAACATGATTTGAATATTAAGCCAGCTCTAATCTTCTAATCAGACCTAGACATTCAAGTCTTTAAACTTGCTGGATTAGAACTGAACATCCCCGGGTCAAGGTTTCTCTACATATCTACAATTATTGAACTGTTGAATTATTTTCAATTGAATGCAGACATCGATTCTCTCAAAGCTGTTGAAATAAATTGAAACATGGTCAACCAGTCTTTCTTAGATATTGGAGAAGATGTAGCTAGATTCATTTCCCGTCAGAAGAAAATGGAATTAAGGAGGAAAGCATTCCGAGAAATATTGCAGCAATGTACAGATCCAGCTGGCACTTTTGTCAATAGACATAACAAATGGTAGGAAAATGCTGTAACTATTGCTGAAAATTGGAAAGGCATGGTGAAACTCCCAGAATATCCAGTTCTTGGCGAAGCATTTTTGGATGCGCACCGAACCTCACCAGAAATGGCCAAAAAGCTCAAGGAAAGTGCCGAGGCAGAGCTCGATATTGATCAACGCCGTTATATTTCTGATGACGCATCAATGGCAGAAACGTTAGAGGGAAATCTGGCAATGAATTTCTGGAGTAACCGGCAGGACTTTCTTGATATTACGCGGAGAGCGCATCCTCGCGGAGATGCAGAAACCCAGATTCAGCTCTGGGTGTCAAATGACATTGAACGTTTCAGGGCAAATTTGCAAAGAGACATTGCCCAAAGTGGCACCGGCTCTGATCGTGAAACCATTCTGGGATTCTTCGAAGAGTGGGCAGCTTGGAATGACAATTTCTTCGGACAAAGGGATAAATTGGGGAAGGCAAAACTTCATGATGACTGTTTCTTGATTCTCTCGACCATCCAGTTTGCAATCAAAGACCGGGAACATCGCCTGAGGATGATTAAACAAGCTCAAATCCATCGCTGGTATAATGGCCTTGCGGTTGTGAATCAAGTATACCATGATGTTATTCAAGCATATCGGGCCTACGACAATCCTGAACACTATAATGCTGGCAATATAGTGTATGCTGAGCAAATCGCAAAGCACTTGACGTTACCATAAATTTCGAATAAATATTTAGGTGAATCAGATTCTGTATTATCGGTTACATATGTTCCTAAACACCTATCTAAAATTTCTTATAGGGATAAAACGGCGTCGAAGGTCAAAAATGATTTATGAATTTCCATGGCATACAGCGGGACAGTGGAGCGGAGCAGCAAGGACTCGATAAACTTGGAAGGGTCTATCGACAACACTAGAACATAGACAACGAGAATATCGTACGAGTGCATAACACGACCCAAGACTCGATAAGTTAATTCTCTTCTGGCTTCTGGGAGAGGATTGAAATATACTTTAATCATCCTTCTATACACGGGTTCTGAGAAGAAAAACAAACGATGATATCGCTCGGGAAGCTTATACGGGGTGGTACAGTTTTATTCATTATTCAGATCATGCAGTTGTCTACTTTGAATATTAGATAATAAATAGCACTTACTTACCTGTTGTCACTCATTCATGTATGTGTTGTGTTGAAGAATCTTCAAGCCCTGTCATGCGACGAGCTCTTACTATTTTTTATCATATTTCCAAAGCTTGGTAGCATAAATACTCTTACAATTTGGTTCTCATGTACAATATCACCGAACCACGGTATATGAATAGTCTTTAAAATACTTTTATGATATTCAGGTGTTCCTAACAATACCATGATTATTGATACTCTAACAGATCTCGCCCTGAGCTAGAATTTGTAGTAATCTAATTTTACAATTCTTCCCTCGCAAAGCGAAGTTTTTCTAGTAACAGAGTTAGGGCACCAGGCCACCACAACTGGTCTTGCTGACGTCCCATCCCACCTCATGTAATAGATTTAGCCGGCTGGCTTTCAGCTTCTGTCACTTCCGTTTCCTACTGAAGTGGTACAATTTCCTCGTCCGAATCAAGGATTCTCGAGTCTGTTAACTCAAATGCCGCAGCGTGCCATGCTGCCTCCGCGTCGCTCCGTTCTTTCTGGGCCTTTTGCAACATCTCTTCAGCCTCGAGGAACCACTTCTCTGCCTCTTGCAATGCCTCCTCAAGCAATTCATCTTCTGCTTTTGACATCCTCTCCATTTCCTCCCATTTTCCCCTCATGTTGCGGGCAGCTAACTCTATCGCTTCCAATTCTCCAATGCTAATTGCTATTGGTTGACGTCCCACCCGTACATTGAGCTTTTTCTTAAAATCCTCCAAGACATCCATATCTTCCTGGAGCTCTGCTCCAAGTTTCTCTTCCGATATGAGGCTTTCAGATATTTGCTTGGATGAACGAATCATTGAGTCCCTAAAGTTTGGCAGGCTTTGGAGAGAATAATTCACTTCCTGTTGGACTTGCTCGAGTACCGACCTAAAATACATCTCTTCTAAGGTGAGCTGCATGATGAGATGATCGAAATATGACGAGACGATGAATTAGGTCGATTTGAGTGGATGTGGATTAGAGGCTCGAAAGTTGAATGTTTTATTGTGCGACGAAGGGTGACAGTGGTATTTGCTGATGCTGGAAGAATGAAAATGGGAAAGAGATAGTACTGGACAACTATGTCTATACGATTACGATAACGATTCTGAGAATATAGTAAACAAAGGAATGCTACTTTTTCAACAGAAATGTCTTTGAAAGGGTACAAGCAAGTGGTAAGAGCGGTTTGCGGGCCGCCAAATTAGCAATCTCTTAGGTTCAAGAATACCTTCCTAGTCCTGCCAGTCGTTCCTCCTTCCTCTCCCGTAGGAAGCAAGAAGTGGTTTTTGTTAGAAGATTGGGTAGATGCAGGTGATTGAATCATAATTCAATAGTACAGATCATCTAGGTCTGACTCCAGAATAGAGATCGAGAGATGGATTGCGACTTTGATTATCAAGAATTAATGGCGAGACGGACTTTCGACAAGAAATTATTCCCCAGACCGTCACATACATAACTAAGGGAATATATTCCAAATATGTCATACCACCAATGTTATCGAAGAAAGGAAGGATCTCTTACTTTTCCACCTTTTCTCTATGGTCAATAATCATTAATACTCGACAGGAATCGAGACCTCGTTCGATTTTTGTCAACAGTTGACATCGGTCTCTTGGTTCCATTATTTGTTGTAATGGTCGCTCAATTTCATGCTGTCTTAGAAATATGAGAGGTTTTCATCTCAGCAACTTTACTTGATTGTTGTGTATTCGATGTGAGTTGCTTTTAAGAAGAATTCTCTAAGCTCATGAAGTTCTTAATGTCCACTTAAGTAAATCCTTCTCAACGACATCCTCTTTTCTCTTAAGCAACTCATCAATATCCCACCTTGCATCCAGGAACGTTCCATTTATCCATTTCAAATCTTTGATGTTTTTACTCAACCATACACAAAATCCACCACAAAGATCCACGCTATCAACTAGATCTTTGACGTTCATTAGTACTCCCGCAACCTTACATGTTGAGTAGATGAAAAACTTACAAGGTAGGAAAACTTCAGGTGTATTTCCAGCAGCCATCGGCGTTGCTACGGCCCCAGGATGGACAGTAACAGCAACCAATCCCTCATCTCCAAACTGAGAACCTACCATCTCTATAAATCTACTCTGCGCAAATTTACTCACGCAATACCCTGTATTGGCAATGGGGCCATCCGTTAAACCCGCAGCCAACGACCCAATCTGTATGAAACCCTTTGCTCCATTCTCACTCTCTAGCAGTAGAGGTATCAGATAATGCGCACAATTATAAGTCCCAATCATATTTATATCGAAATTTCCTTGGAACCATGCCGGATCACCTTCAGTAACTTTCAGAGTCACGGGACCCGCATATCCAGAATTGGGAATACAGACATCGAGGCGACAAAAACTTTCTTTGATATACTTTGCAAGGTCTGAAATATTGCTGGATGATGCGATATCACATGAAAATATTTCGACTCGTGTTTTGGGGGAGATGACACGAATCTTTTCAGCAACGCGAGTAAGTTCGGAGTTGTTGCGAGATGCTAGAATAATACCGGAGGCTCCTGCTTGTGCAAATGAATAAGCGATATGCTCGCCTATGCCAGAGCTAGCTCCTATTACACAGACAACGAAAGGACTAGGGAGTGAGTTGTTGGCTGGAGTGGTGGCGGGTGTGAGTGTTTTGTGTCGGGTAGCTGTAAAGGTGTTCATCGTTTCATTTGTTCTTAGGATTGGTTATAAGGATACTGTTTGATTACAATCAAGAGAATGGCCATGAAGATTATATTACCTTAAAATCTTTGATCCATATTTCTAGCATACCATGATGGTTAGGTGGCTGAGCTTTCGACTCATAATGAGCAAGTGGGATGGGAAATTTGATTGGCTGCGCAATAGTGGGGGTTTTCCGTCCGGTAAGTCAGTAGTGCTTTAGGCTATCCGAACCCTTTAATAAGTTTCACCGTCCACAATTAATGATTTTGTTGAACGAGGTCTTCAATGCAAAATCACTGCTCTATTCAAGGCATGCAGTTGGGGGGATAATAATAATACAATGATTATTGGCTGCGTTGATTGGACGAAAAGCCGATGTCTCGTTTAAATCGACACTTTAATGTGATCAATACCGACTTCAAGCAATTCCGGACTTCTACTGCTTCCCTAAAAACAGTGAAGTTCTGGAAGTTTTAAAGATAGATGAATATTAGATAGTCACGTTTTCATGAATACAATCTCATCCACTGGAAACTCTTCAACTCTTTTCAGGGGATTGAAAGGGCCTAGCAAATTACAGAAAAGTCTGCTCTTCCCCGAGAAAACGGATATAATCAATCTAACTTCTTGGCTATACAGACATGATATGAGTTCAGATAGGACTGCATTGCAATTTCATGTCATGTCAAGCTATTTTTCGATCGCCATTCATCTTGTCAATATACCGCATGCTATCATAGATCAATTCCACGTTGTCTGTCTCATCCGAAATCTCTATCAACTATGTATCAAATGTTCAGCTCAGAATAAAGGAAAGGAAATCTGCTTAGATTCGTCGAACAAATCATGCAGTGTGAATTTTCATGGTTTGATAAGAAGATTGATATCACAGCCCTATCAGACGGAAAAACTTTTCATGTTTGAGTGGGAGATGCAAGCTGATGTGGTAAATTTTCTAGACTACTCGTCTATCTGTCGAGTGGATAAAAGTTCTGTAACTGTTCGAGTCGTAGCGAAAGGTTGTCTTCAATAATTTCTGAGGGGGCTTATCAGAGTATGACCCTTTGAGTGAATATCACTATTACAAAAGGTTTGAATGATGAAATAAAAGTCTAACTTGACTTTCGTTAAAGTTTTCTATAAATGAGGTCCAAGGAATGGTAAATCAATGACACGTAAAACTTGTGATTCAAGCGATTATTGGTGGACACAATATCCCTTGTACTGACTGCAAGTGTTGCTGATATAGAGATCAAAAACACGAGAAGCTTTCTGCAGCCAATTTTCATGGAGACCGTCATGTCGGTTTTCAATACCTGTTGTTTTCAGGGGAGCATTTTGCCTCGATAAGGTAAATTGAGTCTTGATATCATGAATCCTACGCATGTCCTTGGCCGGACGACCTAAACCATCAACAGTCAACAACTACGACCATTCACATTCCGTATCATATAATCACTTTCTATGCTTAGGTATCGCTTCAATCGATGGCAAGATCTTTGGGAATTGAAAGACGACAGCTATTACAAGGCACGACAGTAATCATCTCGACAGGCTTACCAGCACATGCCACTAAAAGCACCGAATACATGTACCTCCGAGTTTCCCGGACGCCTCTAACTCACTAGATGCCATCATAAAGCAGGTGAAACAAGGTGAGGATTAAAAACGAGTAATTTTCACGTATTCATATCCACAACTTGCCGTCTGTGGGAAGATCGTGATCACGATTTGCAATCCAATCCTTTGAGACATACAACCAAGATCCTGGGGTTATACATTATTGGCCGAAGCAAAAAAGGGGAATTTGATAGGATAGGATTCGACTTCTAATGGTGCTAGCCATTGAGTCAGAAAATGAATGCTATTGTAGGTGGATATGAACGTTATCATACATGATCGGCCAGGTATCTTTGAGAACCAAAATGACATGACGCATCTAAATTCTTCATTACCTCCCAGTATGACAGGACTTTGTCTCTGAGAGATTCTCGGCCTTTATATGACTACCAATGAAGACTTCTTGTTGAGGATGAGACCTCTCACTTAACCAGCAGTTAAACTGTTCAAACAGGAAACAGCTGCTATCTTTGCTATGCATTCAACGCATTTCATTGATGAACAATTTTCGAAAACGGAGGCCTACCACACAGAAGCTGACCTCAGCACGAAAGCTCAGAACTATTTAGATTCGTGAAGGAATACCAACTGCATGTAATTCCAATCTCTTGTCGCTTGTTTGTGTCAGGAGGTCGGAAGAATGCCGGGACCGATACCAAATGCTGCACCCGTCACATGACCTTTAGATTTCCGCTTTACGCGACTTTTTATCCAGTCGCGGTCAACGCGTCTTCCATCTATCATCTCCCATCTTTCAACAGCACCACAATCTCAATATTTGCCTTTCACCCGCTAACAACGTCAATCATGTGTAAGTGTCCCCGCGCATCACTCCAAAACTCAAAACTTACTCGTACCCAGCAAACAGCTACGGATACCAAAATAATTATTCAACCACCAGTTACGGCGCACAAGGCGGGGCAGATGGTGGTGGATTTGTTCAAGGAGGATATGGTGGATCGCAGGGAGGAAGCCAAGAAAGTCCTGGAGGCTCAAAGGTATGTCTTGCTACCTATGAAGTCATATTAATATACTAATGAGACATTTAGACATATGGTAAAGATACATTACGACCAGTAACCATCAAGCAAATCCTCGAGGCAGTGCAACCACATCCCGATGCAGATTTCAAAATTGATGGATCGGAAGTAACTCAAGTAGGTATATTCCTTCCTATTATACTATGCATTGCCATCATCTATCATCAAACAAGCATACTAACTTCTCACTATTAGCTCTCATTCGTTGGCCAAGTCCACTCTATCTCCACCCAAGCCACAAATAACACCTACAAAGTCGACGATGGTACCGGTCTCATCGAAGTAAAACAATGGATCGACAACGACGCTGCTCCCGAAAACGCAAGACCTGTGCCGGAAGAAGGAAAGTACATACACGTATGGGGACGACTCAAGTCTTTCCATGATAAACGTCATGTAGGAGCTCATATTATTCGACCCGTTCTCGATATGAACGAAGTGACATTCCATGGATTAGAAGCTACTCTGGCACATTTATATTTCACTCGCGGTCCTATCGATACAGCAGGTGCTATGACAAAGAAAGAGGGAGGCGATGGAATGTTTGTTGATTCGTATGGTGGCAATAACATGGGAGCTGGAGATGCTTCTACGGGTGGTAAAATATTACCTGCGAAGGTATCTCGCAATTCCAGAATGGTTTTCGATCTTTTACAGTCAGAGCCCCAAAACAATGAGGGTTTGAATGTAAATATGATTGCGACCAAGCTTGGTATGCCAGTTGCAGATGTCTACAAGTGCGGAGATGAGTTATTGGCGGAGGGTTGTATTTATACAACGGTTGATGATGAGACGTGGGCTGTGTTGGAGTACTAGAGGATGGAAGATTACAGCATCAATGGCGTTGTAGGATGGGATTATGGCATCTATGTAAAAGTAATGGCTGCATATGAATGAAATATGATTCTATGAGATGATATACCAGATGAGAGTCTTGGATTGCTGATATTAGGTAAAAACAATGATGACATCGTTGCATTATCCAATATCCGAACCGACAACTCAGATAAAGCTTGTCTGATTGCTTCAAGGTGAGGTGCGTATTTGTTCATGCAAAAGGATTTTACCCAAAGAGAGCCATATCCGACGAACCACAAAATTTTCCAGAATAATCATGGTATCTTAAAAGCGTCGATTCGATAAGGAAAATTAATATCAGAAGCAGAAGTCAAATCGTAATGACACCACCTACTCAATCATCTCAACATTGACACCCTCCTTTCCCTCGATAGTCTCTCCCAAAAATTTCGGTTCTCTGACCATGATTTGCATCTTAACCGGCTTGACCCCTCTTTTCATCACAATATCCTCCTTCCACTCGAAACCCAACTTACGATAGTAGCTCAAATTAATCTCTGCACTTGACTCCAGATAAGTAGGACGATTTTCACGGTCCGCTCGATCAGTCATATGTTGGATTAATTTCTTCGCGTATCCTTTTCCTCGAGCGCTAGGTTTACTGCCGAGATAAACGAGGTAGTAGAAATTGTTATTGCGCTCACCCATGACGTCGTCAATGGTATGGTGGAGAAGGGGCAGAAATTCATCATAGAAACGTTTGCGGCCTTCCACGGAGAGCTTAAAGTAGAGTTTCCAGAGACCGCTGCGGAAAAAGGTAAGCCAATCGTCCATGTCTTGACCGGGAGGCATCCTGTTGATTTGTTAATTCGTTATTCAGAGATCGTGGATCTTCAGAAGACTTACCATAGAGCGACTGCATCGTAGTTTGGACCAATGGTAGTCACTATGCCTTTGTAGCAATGAGCAGCGGTCATGTACTTGATTATATCACAATGAAGTTTCCATTTGTATTCCTCGGAATAAGAAGTCATGTCATCGGTATCAAGGAAGTACCTTGCTACTTCGTCTGTAGCAAAAGCTTGAGCGAGACACTGAGCCGCTCCCTCGCACTCCGAAATGCTTACTACACGAACCTCCTCCGTTGTAGCCGGGGAAAGGCTGCGCTTCTTCTCAAGGAAATTCATGGTCGTACTATTATCCTCAATAACATGCGCCATGATTACGATTTATCTATAATATATCTTGAGATATTGGAATAATTCTGCAGATATAATCTGTTAATATGGCATTTGGAGGTATTTAGAAAGACAGAGAACGAACAAGAATCCGGTTTATTAGCTGGCCTATTTAAATCGCCTGTATGAACTATCGAGAGCTGGGTTCTCGATACCGTTATGTACCGAGATGGGAAACGAAGACAGTTGAGACTTTGGCGGAAATCAACCGACATCAATGTAGATGTTTATCAAACTCGGGTTACTCTTCAACGGGAAAAGTTGTATGATTCTTCGAAATCACGCTTCGTCTACAGTGGGTAGATAGACTTTGGACGTTGGTTGTGTAGCTATGGGAGTCTTACGCCGGACAAGTGCTGACTTTACTAAATCGGTCGATACGAGGTGAATTGAGGAGAAAGAATGATCTTGTACTGTCTTGTGTTTCCTTGGGAGACTTGATGATTTATGTTACAGAAAACCGGTGATTGTGATTGTAATTGTCTGCAGAGATCAATGAATTGGAAAGCAAGGAATTCCGAGAAATGGCGATTGGGTCGAGGTTTATGTAGTTATCACTACGAACTCAAAACGTTAAGGTAATCCTCAACGATAACCATGCCACAATTAAACACTGCATAACTCCACTTGTATGCTAGCACGAGGTAAGCATAAAGATTGAGGGCAACCAACAGGATCGAGTGTGTGAAATCCCTTGGGGCAAGTGTAGCCTGCCGCATGATTCTTGGAAAATTCCATGAGCTGATTGGATTGATATCAACCCTTAAACAATCAATACATGGATACTTTACTTGTTAAGTTTGACAAGGGACGCCATGTGCGATCATCTGGTCCAAAGGGTCTGTGGCTGGACCTCCCAAATCTGGTTAGATATCGGAGTAATCTTTGAAGGCTGTCGCGCCCCGTCCGCCGACTTTGATACGATCCTACTCCACTCCACTGAAGGGAGATAAGATGAATAGCGTGGAACAGCGACGAAAATAGGAATTGAGTAAGCGAGATAAAAGGATGGATGGATAAGAAAGATAGATAGTATTAGATGAAGAAAAGTAATCATAAGTCAAAAGTCAAAAGTAATGTAAAGATAGAAAAGAAATTGGAAACATGCAAAAGTAGGACGTATTGCGTTGCATATTGTCAGACACAGAATGTCCGATTGGAATAAATATTCGGGATTGGCCCGCGTTGATCGTACTGGATGATATTAATTAGGCGTAATCAAATGATTCGCTTTTCTGTTGGGTATAAACTTGGTATCGCGATAAACCTCAAGGCCAATATGCAATGTGCATCATGCATGGTGACATTCTCAGCTCCTCAATAACTCCTCCATATTCATTCATCTTCAATTTGATTTGTCCCTGCAAGATCGTCCTCACATTCTTCTGATATCTTGCTCATTCATATACTTCTCGAGATCGGTGTCTTTGTGCTCCCACCATTCAAATAGGAGAGAGTTGCAGATAAGCTTGAACCAAGGTGTAAACTTCAAAGAAGGATCGGTGAACATAGTCTTGAGTCCATCGGCAGAAACATACCGAGTATCGCGGACTTCGTTCATGTTTGGCTCGAGGTCGACATCAGCGGTAATAAAGAGAATGTAGTCAACTAAAAAGATTGTCAATCATTAGCCATTACACATCATAAAGGATCACAAAAGCGGGTTGACATACTTTCATGCTCTCCCCATTTTCCGTCACTGGGTGCTTTGTAGTGGATTCTGGTCAAGAATTTGAAGTCCTCGATGGGTACCTGCGCAGGTTTGATACCAAGTTCGTGATCAAGCTTTCTTTGCGCTGCTCTCTTGACTCCCATGATAGCTTCAGTCAACTCAGAACCGCCTTCACCAGGTATGCCAAGAGGATGGGAGCAGCAGGTGTTAGTCCACATATCGGGGAATGTGATCTTTTCGGTCGCACGTTGTTGGAGTAGTAATTCATTCTTGGAGTTGAAAAGAAAGACGGAAAATGCGCGATGCAGGAGGCCTTTGTCGATGTTTGTCATGAGATGACCTAGAATGATCAGTATATGAGAATCGGAAAAATGCTTGATTCTCTTCTCTTACATATCTTCTTGCTGAAGTTTCCAATAGGCTTATCATTTTCGTCTAGAACAATGCAGACTTCATCCATCAATCTGATCTGCTCTTCATCGTGTCCTTCAAGTTCTGCAGAGCTCGTGTCAATGTCAGGGAAAAGTCGAAGAATACTCTGAGCAGTAATTGGCTCAGCGTGTGTAATTGTAGTTGTAGTAGACATGGTGAAATGGAGGGAGGGTGGTGGTCTTATGGTATTTTGAAAGTCCTTCCTTGGGATTAGATTGTTCAGAAATGGCTCAAGGTATTAATAATAAGGGGAACAGGGACAAAATGCCTCAAGCAATTAAATTGCGGGCGCTATTCCCGCCTGAGTAATTGGCCAAAGCCCAAAGGTTAAAATTGGCGGGGAAATTTAGTCACTCGAGTCACTGAAGGCTGTCAATTGAATTTTGACACCTCAGGCAATAGAGGGGCAGAAAAAAAAAAGTTTGTTTGAATTTTGGTCGGCTCGGAAACCAAAAGAAATTCGAATCTACGAGTTCACATATCGATATCATCTGGAAAAAAGACTTCGCATTTTGTATCTCAACACAAGTTAATCAATTCGATTCAATCGAGTATCATATCACATCACATCACATTAATCTGCTTTGCATTCGAAAAATCAATATGGGAAAAGCTTCTAGAAATAGGACTAAGCATCGCGCTGATCCTACTGCAAAATCTGTCAAGCCCCCCACCGACCCAGAGCTTGCAGCCATTCGGGAGAGTAAAATTCTACCAGTTCTCCAAGACCTACAAAGTGCAGACCAATTGAAGAGATCGACCGCCGCGACTGCTATTGCGAACCTCGTTGACGATACAAAATGCCGAAAGCTATTTTTGCGAGAGCAGATTGTTCGAATTCTGCTCGAACAAACCCTTACAGACTCGAGCATGGAAACCAGAATCGCAGGATGGGGAATAATGAGGAATTTAGCATTAGAAGAAGAAGCGGACTTTTGTGTGCATTTATTCAGACAGGATATTCTGACTGCAATTGAGGGAGCTGTCAAATCAGTAAGCAGTCACAGTAATCCCATTGTCCAATCATTACTCTAACAAAAGTAGATTATCGAAACTATCGATTCAAAAGACACTCCGTTATCGAAAATACCAAAACCTCAACAAGATCTCTTGTGGAGTCTTACAAGTTCTGTAATAACACTGTTAACATCCCTGTCTGAAGCAGAGCTTGAAATTGTCGAAGCTATATCGAAATTATCTACAATTATCAACTTTTTGTTTGGATTATTGTCACTCGATACAACTCCATTGGAGATCAACAATGAAGTATTATCATGTTTAGCAGCTTTAACAGAAGACAACAAGACCTTGGTCGAGTTTATTACAGAGCAGAAGGATTGGTTCAAACTACTGATGCAATTGAAGAATTCTGGTGGATTCAAAGGCGTTGCTACTTGTGGAGTACTTCATAACATATTTACAGCAATGAACTGGGCCGATGACAATGCTCCCATCGACGGCGCCTCGGATGCTATTCTTCTCCCGACTTTGATCAAGTCAATGCAACAAGCACAACAGACAAATGGTGCTAATGGTACAAACGGCCACAGGACAAATTCTAGCCCCGAACGAGTCTTGCAAATGGCCTTGGAAATTACCGCATCGATTGCAACTAGCCTTCAAGAAGCTCTTGAACTTGGAAATGGAAAGGAGGAGGTGTTTGAAGGATTTGGTGATGACGAAGAAGTGGGTGAAGACCAGATGGTTGACGGCGATGCAGATTTGTCGGAAGGTGAAGAAGGTGACTTGAGTGACGGGGAGAACGAAATGACACAGGAGGATATCGAGGCTGACATGGATATGGTCTTGGGAGATGATCCAGAAGATGAGGAGACGTCTAATGACCAGGATACACTTCATCAACTTGTTCAGGTCGCTTGTCCTGCAGTTATAGCTCTTACACAGTTATCTGAGGACTCAAAAATGGAGGGTGATGATGTACAAACTCCTGCTTTGGCAGCTTTAAACAACATCGCGTGGACCGTCTCATCAATTGACTTTTCTAAGAGCCATCTTGGTAGCTTGCAAAAATCATGGGCTGGCCTCGCCCAGCGTATATGGGATGAGGTCGTGTGTCGTGTACTTGCATCCAACACGGCGAACGTTGAACTGGCTGCCTCCATTACAAGTATTGCTTGGGCTGTTTGTAAGAGTGTTCAAGGGCGTGTCCAGATACGAGCGGATGAACACAGAAAGTTTATGGCTCTCTACCATGCTTCTAAGGGCTTCGAAACCCCAACCGACTCCAAGGCTTCTAAGAAAGACGCAGAAAATCTTGATGATTCAGCTTTCCAGTCCTTGGGGGTCAAGTGTATTGGCGTCTTAGGTAGTCTTGCCCTCGAGCCCGCACCTATCGAGCTCAATCGAGAAATTGGCATTTTCCTAGTCACTCTCATTGCGGCTGTTCCCGAAACCCCTGCGGCGCATGCGGTGGAAGCCTTGAACGAGATTTTCGACATTTATGCCGACAAAAGTTATTCATTTGACCAATCGGTTTTCTGGGGAAGTGGATTCGACAAACACTTGGAGGAAAGTTTGCCTAAGTGCAAAAAGATGGCTAAATCAATCGACAAGAGAAAATCACCAGAGCTTCGTTCGAGAATTGATGAAGCAGTATTGAATTTAGCGAGGTTTTTGAAGTACAAGAAAACAGAAAAGTCGAGCTAGGATATAGATGATGGGATATAAGGACTAGGATAGTCAAGCTACGACACACAGAATGTTTCTTCATATGCTAGATTAATCCGACAATGATACCACAAGTCCTTTTTGATTCGTTCGCTGAGTGAGACAGCAGTTTGAAAACCACAATCTATGGTTTTGCTTATTTATTCAACTTTGAAGTTTGATTTGGATTTTGACGTCAACAATTAAAAATTATTATGGAGACGAATTAGGCGCAGGGCTTACTCGCCCAGCATAATCAGAGTGGGTGGGCTGTGCATGGAAGGTCTCGAATCATTCTACCCGTTTCCCGTTTCACTTCCACAAAATTCCGACTTTCCCGTTTCTATAACTCTTCAGTGAACCATCATGTTCATGGAAAGTCATGGGTATCGGTGCATAACATCATCTCAATAGAGTATTTTGTCAATAATGCTAATTGTCGAGATAGGAATATCGTCATTAGATGGTATCCATCGATGCGCCCCAGGCTGCGGCTCAGCAAATCTCATGTCACCCCTGTCTGAATGGGGGCCAAACTTGAAGAAAGTACATCATCACGGCCACCATAATCATCAACCCTCATGCAAATTCGCAACAAGCCACTGTCAGCCTCGCGAAGGAGAGCTTCCCTTGTGCAATTTTTGGCTTGAATATGGTCAGCCACTTTTACTTGTTCCGTGTGCTTGACACTCCATGGCTTGATTCAGTATGTTTGCTCCAACTTCTCAGCCTCGGTGGCGAACGTCCAAACAAATGAATGTGTGATGAAGTTGGATATGATTGCATTGGGAAATGAAGTAACACGGGGATCTTAATTATACAGTGTGTAGACCGGAGCGAGCCTAACATGGTCCCTGTCCGGCTGGACTGGACACATCGTGAAGGTACAAGTACCAGCATGTATATGCAAAACCGTCCCAGTGTATCGGTAATAGGGGCGTTTCATTGTTGATGGTAAGGCAATGCTGTGTAATGAGCCATTTTCCCAACCGGTTCTCTCCTCCTGTGTGCAGAAATGCTGTGTGGAGAATTCATGCATGTAACATGGAATGTGTGAACGAATTTAACACTTTGTATAAGTAAGATGGTCATATCGCCTATCGGGATTCTACTTCCATTTGCTTGTACTTCTTAGTCTTGTTCTAGCTTGCTTAAGTATCCGAGCTACGTGGATACGTATACATGCGTTTACGAAGCGGATTGGATAAGTCTAGCGAGCGAGATAGTCGGAATCAGCCTGCTGAAGCCGCAAATTTCGGTATGGAGGAACATCCTTTTACAGATTTTGGCTCAAATGGCGCAGATGTTGGTTCTTCGAGGCAGAGGTGAGTTTGTCTACTTTTCTCTTATGCTCTAGTTGCTTGTGGAAATAATGAGCTAGGCTAATGGCGTGCTGTGAAGTAATGGATCGCCATCCGAGCCTGACACTCGGAACTGTGATATTTCCGATGGACAGCAGGCACAAGACATAGTCCTCTCTAGTCAACATGGGGATTATCAAGAGACTCAAATGGCATCATCATATCATATTCAAAGATCTTGCTCAGTACCATCATCATTTTATGACCCAACTCTCTATCCCGAGCCTTCTATTCCTGTGTCATATCATGGTACATCTGCATCAAATTTACAGCCGTATACTACTATAACTACAACTGCCTCTCAACCTCAACTTCAACATAACGATCCACCCTTTATGCCATCTCACATTAATGCACCTCAGCCTGAGTCTATTTACACCTCCGCCTCACCTTCTTACCCCTACCCGCCGCCACCACCAGTTCCTACACCACCGCCTCCCCCACACTTTCATCGCTTTGATCCCTCTCATCATTATCCCCAAGCTCATCCACTATACCACCAAGCCCAAAACCAAAACCACCTCCCTCTCACTCAGCCTCAAGCTCAAACACAGCACGTCCCATCTATTGGATCAGACTTCCCGCCTCTTCTCACTTCCCAAGCCCAACTGCAGACTCGACAACCCCATCACCAATTTCAAGGAGGTCCCTGGTCTCCACTCTCCGCTCAAGAATCCCGCAAACGCCGCGCTTCAGACGCGTTGAGTACTGTAGAACTGGGAGTTCCTGACGCAGATGTAAATTGGGGGTATAAGGATAAAATGGGCCAGGAGCTCGATTCTCTGGAGATGCAAAGTAGGAGTATGAGGAGGAGGGACGAACGGGGTGAGGGTAGCGAGGGGAGAAACGTTCCAGGAAGCAACAGAAGAAGTAGAAGAAGATTGAACTATGAAGATGTAGGAAATGGAAGTGCGGGACGAAGACAAGGAGGAAGAGATGAAGATGAAGATGAGAATGAAGTTGAGTACGAAGCAAGAATGACGCGAGGGGAAGAGGAAGAAAGAGGTCGAGGAAATGGACATGCGTTTTCTTGAGTATGGAAGGTCCCGACAAGTTCAATCTGGATGGATGACTACAACTATACGATTTTTTCTATTGTTTTGTTTGGATACGATGTTTCGCTTTCTTGTTTTCCGAGCACCATTTTCTGATTTCATTATCGTTTTTCATTATCGTTTTTCATTATCGTTCGTCATTATCGCTCGCAATTTTCTATTTCATACTTTCCTTAGATTTTCACGGAGATTTAGCTGTACTCATTTTTCACTAGAAGTATTTGAAGGATTTAGATTTTTTGTGTAATTTTTTTACAGAGTCAGAGTGTTTGTTATGCAAAATCACAAGTTTTTCCTTATTAAGTCATTAGTTTGTATTGGTAGATGTTCAGATAATAGAGAGAATTGACATTTAACATTGAGATTGAATGAAGTGATCGATTTATACATATATTGATGCGAACTAGATGCTAAATGTGTTTGGTGTACTCCCCCAAAACAGAAGATATTCGACACAAATTTCAACATGGAAAAAGAATGATCCTTTAGTCTAGAAATATGACCAGAGAAGATAGCAATCTAATGCCATTTTCAATCTTGTATATAGCCATACTATACGAAAGCGAGACCGACTACCAGCCACGCAAGATGTAGAAACTGGTGTAGTACGAAGTTCTTATGAATTGATTACTGTATTGTATGTATGTAGTACACCTTCCCGCCCACTAGCTGCATGACGCCCCAGTGGGTCGCAGTTTGCATGGCCATAAGCTTTGAATATGAATAAGCATTTGATTCCTTCTGCAGTCACTTGATGCGCGACCAAGTTCTCACGCTCATCCACATTTTTACGCATTGGCACGAGAGCCGCAGTAAGTGATACAAACGGGGCGGAGAACGCCCATTTATATTTCTCTAAACAATACACTGCATACGTTATATTACTAATATTTACCCTTCTTCGACGGTCTAGCATTCTTTGCTTTCCTCCTCTCCTGTAATTTTCTATCCTTTCGAATATCCTCCGTACTCTTAATTTCCGACTTTCCACTACCATCTTTGAATGAGCCAACTCTCTTTTCCTTTGCCTCGGCAACTCTCTTCTTCCTGACATGGTAATCATCACGATATTTATCAGCTTCCTTTGGTGCTCTTTCTTGCTTATGCTTGTATCGTGTACCGAAGCCTCGTCCAACTCCACCAGCACTGGCAGGGCCTTCGCGTTCTGCTTCACCTGTTCGAGGCATACGATCGACCTTGTGTGCTTTACGCCATCTATCAAATCGACCACTTTGGAAACTAGCTGCAATCTTTTGGCCACTCTCTCCACGAATGTATTTGGTTCCTTTGGATCCATCCTCATCGTTGGCTCGAGCGACATATTTACTATTCTTTTTATCCCATCTCATGCCCTTTGCTCTAGCGGGTTCGGCAAAAGATTTCGCCCCATCATCATTGGTGAGGTCCATAGTAACACCTCTAGCTGCCTCGACGAAGTTTGAGTTTTGTGACGCTGTGTTGTATGAACCAGAATGAACACCATATCCACGCTCTTCTGCAGTATTGATAGTTTTTGGCGTGTATGACATGAAATTTTCGGAGTCTTTCCAAGATAGCGTTCGTCCTTTGCCTTTTTGTGATGCTTTCGAGAAGGTAACTTCAAGCTCATTTTCCGATGCCTCGGCCATGTCGTCATCTCCTCCAGTGACTGTGACCTCAAGATCATCATCATCACCATCGTCGCCATCTACCTCCATAGGCGTATCGTTATCTAATTCTTCTGCTGCCGCTGCTGCTTTTTCGTCCTCCTCTTTCTGTCTTCTTGGAATGATTTTCTCCCTTCGGTGTCGCATGATTTCGGCAGCCTCACTGTGAGCAGCTTTACCCTTCTGCCCGATCTCAAAGACAGTCTCATTGGGTCGGAATCCACTGATCTTTGCAAGCATATCCAATCGAGCTTGTTCGGCACCATTTGTCACATCCTTGAAAAGTGGGTGTAGCTCCATCCACCCTTTCGATGCCACTACTTCTTTGGCTCTCTTTGCACTTTCACTTGATGCCGAGTTACGGGTCTTAACGTAGAGCTTCTCTCCCTTCGCTGATACATTTCGCAGCGCGGTAAGATCGTCGTCATCATAGAGAAGCTTCGTGATCCATTCCGACTTGCTTTCTATCTCATTTCTCTGCAGAGCACCAACAATCACATCTTCAGCGTAGTTTGGTGAGTCGCCACATTCACGTCCAAGAAGTAATCTCCTTCCTAAAAATAGCTGTAGATCGAGAAGATATGGCGCATCAGTATCTCTGACCAAACTGTAACTCCAACCCCGTTGACCAGCTCTTGCAGTACGACCGACTCGATGAACGAAAACCTTTGGTTGTGGTGGAAAGTCATAATTAATGACATTTGCTAGGACAGGAATATCAATACCTCTAGCGGCGACATCAGTAACTACCAATATATTTGATTTTCCCGTACGGAAATCCTCAACCTGAATATTTCTAGCGGTTTGATCGAGTGAACCATAGGCATGAGAAACAGCAAATCCAGACATACGAAGTAGAGAAGCGAGATAGTCGACATGATGCTTCGTAGCTGCGAATATGATTGTTGAATGCTCCGTGGGCTTTAGCTTCCTACTTGGGCCATCGGGACCTCTCTTGCGCTTCTTGTCAAACCTGTCTGTTGCATTCAGTGCATTCTCGGGTAGGCCTGTGGGCATTTTGACTAAATCTTGGAGAATGTGCAATAAAGCACCTTCTTTTTCAGCACCTTTAACACTGAAAAATGCACTCTGAAGATCTGGGGAAACTTTGCTTTCTGCATCGAGACGAACCAAACTTGGCTCTTGAAGACCAGCTCTGGCGAATTCCACCAGCGACTTTGGTAAGGTTGCAGAAAACAATAAAGTTTGTCTTGAAATTGGCAAGGCGTGAAGAATTTCTCCCAATTGAGCAGCGAAACCCATTTCAAATAGACGATCGGCCTCATCAAAAACAACATATTTCATCGACGATAAATCCAAAGACATTTCAACCTTCAGATGTAAGAATCGACCAGGCGTAGCAATAACGATATCAGGATTTCCGGCCATAAATCCGAATTGTTCTTCGAGACTGTCACCTCCAACAAGTAGTACACATTTAAGATCAGTTCCTCGTCCAAATTCCTTAACAACTTTCAATGTTTGTAAGGCCAATTCTCGAGACGGAGACATAATTAGGGCTCTTGCACCAACACGCACACTGTGAGCTCTCAACTTTTCAATCATTGGGATGACGAAGGCAGCAGTTTTTCCGGAACCAGTTCTAGCCATACCAACAACATCTTGATTATCGAGGACTAAGGGTATCGTTTTTCGTTGAATAGGTGTAGGTACATTGAATCCTTTTCTACTAATTGCCTTTAACAAATGAGAATTCAATCCTTGGTTGAAAATTAGCACGTTTGCGCAAAATGCAAAGAGAGAGGGATTTCATACCCATTGCTTGAAATCCACCACCCTTCTTGACACTCTGCCCCTTCAAATTTGAGTTCTTTCGGTTCGCAGCTGATTGCTGTGCCGATATGAAAGCTCCATCACCATCTCCATCGCTCTCAAGTCCCAGATCCAATATACCATTAGCATCCAGAGGTTCTACATTTTTAGTAGTTGTATTTCCGAAATTGTCGTCATCTCCGTCGATATCACCATTGAAGAGAGATTTTGTGATATCAAAATCATTCTCCGAAAGCGCGGGGGATGCTGCACGACGAGGCATTTTGAGAGTCGTATTTTTCCACAGCGCGCGCAAATAGCAGCATACGAAGCATTGAAGATATCCAAAATCTTATCAGTTCAACTTTTTTTCTGATATGGCCCGTGCATGATTTCACCGCCTTCGTTAGCGCAAAACCTTAAATTTTGGAGGCAGATTGGAAAAATATATTCGAAATATTTTGGACCTTGAGCGATCCATTGATATTGTACATAAATATTTGAGAATCATGGCACCACCAGCTTCCGGGCGCAAGTCTAAGAACGTTAGCAAGGGTAAAAATGATGCGAAAACTTTGAAAAGGAAAAGAGATATAGAAGATCTTGAAAAACTTCAGAAATCAATTGATGAGCTTGTAAGTGCGGCCATGGCTTCCTTATCGACATTTACTTACTCTCTCAGGATGCGAAAGCAGAAATCAAAAACTTCTCTGAACTTCCCCTGTCTGAACCGACATCATCTGGACTCGAAGCATCTCACTTCAAAACTTTGACGGACGTTCAATCGAAAGCTGTACCTCTTGCGCTCAAGGGAAAAGATATTCTGGGCGCTGCGAAAACTGGTAGTGGAAAGACTCTTGCATTTTTAGTACCGGTATTAGAGAACCTTTACAGACAGAAATGGACAGAATTAGATGGCCTTGGCGCTCTCATTATATCTCCAACTCGTGAATTGGCCATACAAATCTTCGAGGTTCTGCGAAAAATCGGACGATACCACACCTTCTCGGCAGGATTGATCATTGGAGGTCGGAGTCTGCAAGAGGAGAGGGAACGTTTAGGGAGGATGAATATACTTGTGTGTACACCCGGGCGCATGTTACAACATATGGACCAAACGGCTGCATTCGATGTTGATAACCTACAAATGTTGGTCCTAGATGAGGCAGATCGAATCATGGATATGGGATTTCAAACATCTGTCGACGCTATACTAGAACATTTACCGAAACAAAGGCAAACGATGCTATTTAGTGCCACACAAACGAAGAGAGTCTCGGATCTAGCAAGATTGAGTTTGAAGGAACCCGAATATGTCGCAGTACATGAAGCAGCATCCTCAGCCACCCCCACAACATTACAACAACATTACTGCGTAGTGCCGTTGCCTGCAAAGCTCAACACGCTATTTGGCTTCATTAGAGCTAACCTAAAGGCTAAAATAATAGTATTTATGTCTTCAGGCAAGCAAGTACGTTTTGTCTACGAAAGTTTAAGACATTTACAACCTGGTATTCCATTGCTTCATCTCCACGGTAGGCAAAAGCAAACCGCAAGGCTTGACATAACTTCGAAGTTCTCTTCATCGAAAAATTCATGTATATTTGCGACAGATGTTGTTGCAAGAGGTCTTGACTTTCCTGCAGTCGATTGGGTGATTCAATTAGATTGCCCCGAGGATGCTGATACCTATATTCACAGAGTTGGTCGAACTGCACGTTATGGGAAAGTAGGCCGGGCAGTCATGTTTTTGGATCCATCTGAGGAAGAGGGCATGCTGAAACGATTGGAACATAAGAAAGTACCGATACAAAAGATTAATATCCGACCGAACAAGACGCAAGACATCAAAAATCAATTACAAAACATGTGTTTCCAGGACCCTGAGCTGAAATACCTAGGTCAGAAAGCATTTGTCAGTTATGCCAAATCTATCTTCTTACAAAAAGACAAGGAGATATTCAATATCAATGAGGTTGATCTGGAGGGTTTTGCATCGAGTATGGGTCTTCCCGGTGCGCCAAAGATTAAATTCCAGAAAGGAAACGATGCAAAGAATGTCAAGAATGCTCCAAGAGCTGCTATTGAGTCTAGCGACGACGACAGCGAAACCGAGAAGAAACCTAAAAAGAAAGAAGAAGTCCGAACGAAATACGATAGAATGTTTGAGCGCCGTAACCAGGATGTTTTGTCTGGTCATTACTCCAAGATGATCGCAGATGATACCCCTATGAAGGATGTAGATGGTACCGCGGACGCTGATGAAGACAATGACTTTTTGTCAGTGAAGAGAGTAATACCTGTGGGTAACAATGATAGTTCCGACGACGACGATGAAGATGTTGCTGCGACTGGGCCACTAGGAAAGGTTATCGAGGGTATTAGCAAGGATCCTATTGTGATAGACTCGAAACGAAAAGAGAAACTTTTGAAATCTAAGAAGAAGCTTCTTAAGCTCAAAGATAGAGGAACCAAATTGGTATTCGATGAAGAAGGTAATCCTCATCAAGTATACGAATTGGAAGACGAAGAAGATTTCCGCGCAAGAGGTCCAGCCGAGGAGCAACGAGCTAAGTTCTTGGAAGAAGAAGCCGAAAGAGTTCGTCAAGCAGATCTTCTTGATAAACAAACTGCAAAGGACAAGAAACGAGAAAAGCGTGAGAAACGTAGAGCGAGAGAAGCAGCATTGGAGGATGACGATGAGGCACCTGAATTGGTTGGTGCTGGGGATGATGAAGATCCTATGGCTCTTCTTAGATCTTTGCCTCTACCAGAAGACGAAGAGGATGAAGATAGTTCGGCAAGGCCTGCAAAGAGACCTAAGAAATGGTTTGAGGATGATTCAGATGATGAGAGAAAGGTTGCTAAGAGAAAGAGTCGTGTTATTGAAGCTGCAGATGAACCTGAGACACTGGAAGATTTGGAGGCTTTGGCTGCTGGTCTTCTTAATTAATTTTGGCATTAGGAGTAGGAGTAACATGAAATGTAAAAATAGCGTTGATAATCAGATCAGAATTGAATCTTTATATACCCTTTTTGAATTTCTTGCTGTGTTGTTTGTCCTAGTGTCAAATATTTACATATCCATCTCATGGTATCGCAAATCAAGACCCCTAATCCATAACCCATTTCACCGAATCTTGGCTAAAACTACCCCTCCAACCTAACCCCCACATTCCAACAAGTAATCACAGCTCACACCACCACGATTGGTCCGTCGGCCCATGTGAAGCTTACCTCACATTTTTATGGGGCCCCGAAGCCAATTCGACTCGGAGGTAATCCGACGGCGCGGGAACCCTCCCACCCTCAAGTTGTACAGAACTTCTTTTTCTTTCTTTCTTGCTTTGCTTTTAATTATTTTTTATGCCAGAGGAAGTTCTTGATTGAGAGATAGATGGGTTATTAAGGGACAGATAATGATATGAGAGGATTACGCGATATGCAGGACAGAGATGACAATCATATTGAGAAGCAATGGCAGGCTGCTTGCGCTGAGAGAGGGGACCCGGATACGGATACACATGCTGCGAATTTTGGAGCGGGAGAGAAGAAGAATGGGAATGGGGATGGGGATATAGATCAAGTGAGCAATCTGCTAGAGAGATGCGATGAGGTGGCGGGGAAAGTAAATGGGTTTCTGGAAGAACAGTTTGGAGAGGAGGAGGAGGTCTTGAGGGGGGTGCAGGAACAGACGAGGATTGCGCTGGGCGTTATTAGGGAGTGTTTGGAGAGATATAGGTACGTTTTCTGGGGGGTGATTCTGCGATTGTGTGCGAGGAATGGGATTAAGTATTCAGTACCTATGGAAACTATGCTAACATGTGAGAATCCTCATAGTCTAGAAGAAATATCATTTTCCTACAACGGCGGAAAAGACTGTCTCGTCCTACTGATTCTCCTCCTCACCGCGCTCTCCAATCACCAATCCTCTTTTTCATCCTCATCCTCATCCCCATCCTCATCTTCGAAACCCAAACCGAAACCCCTCCCCCTCGCTCTCCCTTCCGTCTACATCCTCTCCCCGCATCCCTTCCCCGAAGTCGACACCTTTGTCGCCTCGTCCTCCGCACACTACCATCTACAACTCTCGCGCTACGCATCACCGATGAAAGAAGCATTCACGCAATACTTACACGATCACCCGGTTGTGAAGGCGATTTTGGTAGGCACCAGAAGGACAGATCCGCATGGTGCGGATTTGACACATTTCGATTTGACGGATGGGGGATGGCCTAGGTTTATGAGGGTGCATCCGGTGATTGATTGGCATTATCGGGAGATATGGGGGGTGAGTTATTATCATTTCATTATTTTTCGTGCTTGGGGTTTCTCCCCCCCTCTTGCTCCTTTCCTTTGCCCTTTTCTAGGGGCTTATACTAGGATCAAAAACTGTGAAAGTTTATCAAGTGGAAATTACTCACAACGAAATACTAACACAATCCCCCACAGTTCATCCGCCACCTCAATATCCCCTACTGTCCGCTCTACGATCAAGGCTATACCTCATTAGGAGGCACAACCGATACGCATCCGAATCCCGTACTAGTCGCCGAAGATAGCAAGGGAGATGGAGAAGGAGAAGTGAAATTTCGACCTGCGTACGAATTGGTGGAGGATGAGGAGGAGAGATTAGGTCGGGATTATTAGGGGCGGAGGGTATGGGAGGATGTAAAGAGGAGAAGCGAAAAGTGAAAAGCATAGGAGGAAGAATCATAGGGGGTAGAGGGAATGAATACTTGAACACTAAATAGAGAGGAAACATATGGGATGCGAGGAAGGAAGGAAGGGAAAAAGAAAGAAATAAGAGGAATAATGATGCATATGCATGATACCACTAGAGACGAGAGTCTTCACTTCATGAAGAAGATTCAAGAGAATACAGAATACAGATATATTGAACAGCATGGATGACACAATGTACAGTACAGTATAGAGCAAGGAATCTTTACGTATTTTATATATTATTGATTAGTTGATTCTGGATGTATGAACATGAACATGAACGTGCATGTGCATTTGGATATGGAAATGGAAATGGATATGGATATGCATTGTTTGGGGAGGCATGTGTAGTTTTCTCTTCCTTTTCCTTCTTTACTTTCTTTCGTTCTCGAAAGATTACCTATAGCGGAATTAGACACTTGCACATACAGACTCACATCACATACACACTACACAACCAAAAAGCACCCAAAAATATTCCAAAAATACATATTTCCTTCTTCATTAGCAAACTTGAGTTACAACTGCCTGCATACCAAAGACACAGACAGGGACGGAGTTCCATGTATAGTAAGTATAGTGTGTGTGCACGCTGAATCTAGGGTATGTGTGTATCCTCATACGCCAACCCCCATCCAAAAGTGCCCAGAATGCCACTCCATGTCCGTGCAATCCAGCTTTGTTCATATAATAAGTGATCGCGCGGTAAGTGAGATTTCCTTCCCAGTCCAGTGCCATCCCATCCGCTCCATACCCATTTTGCACCATACCCATTTTGCACCATACCCATTTTGCACCATACCATATGCACCCCTGCCCAAGTAAGGTAACATCCCTCGCCAAACAAAAGCAAACCAAATTCGATAAAGGAAAAAAACGCCCAATGAATTTATACATCCCCCGCCTCAATCTTCACTAGTCCCCGTGTAAAGAGTACTTTCATTTGGTCTCACATCTCCATGTAACCTAAGTCTATAAAGACAAGTATAAGGCACCTTACCATTGCCATGATTCCCCTTACTTCTGATCAAGAATTTATTACTAGCAGACGTATCGTTCATGATGTTATCAATCGGTTCCGTTACAAAATCCTTAAGATCTACTTGTATCGTAAAAGCTTGAGTGCTTGCACCATAAGCATCGAATGTCCAATCGCCCAGCTTTACCCAGCCAGATTCAAGATCATCATAATTTTCATCTGGGAAGATTTCATCAGAGCTCACTTTGACTTTCGCGAAAGTAGGGGTGTGAGGGATATAGGCTAGAAGTTCCATGTGGCTTGGTGCTGAGAGAGGTGAGAGACCTGAATTTTCGTAACCGGATTGAGGGAAGTGTTCCACAACAACTTGGTCGGGCCAGATATGATTAGCCGTTACGACACCAAGTGTAGGGCCGTGACCATTCTGTTGTGGTGAGCACCAACAATCACCAATTTCTTCCCATGCGGTAAGAGCTGTATCGGCGGAATTGGGGAGGGGAATAGGTTGATTGAAGATCAAGGCAATACTTCTGTGAATAAATCCAAAATCCATGTGTGGAAATCGGTAAGAAGGTGAGGTGAGACGAGGAATGACAGCAGAATGGGATCGTTTGGCGAAATGGTCCATACGTCGAAGGGGTCGAGCGACCTCTTGGTTGACATTTGCGTTCGAGAGAGCTTCAATTTGAGCTATGCTAACTGCTTTAGCAATTGCTTTCACTTGCCCAGCGGTGAGAGCATTCTTCCCAAGATTTGTGACCTTGTCTTCCAAATCTGTAATGTGTTTTTGAAGCTCCAATTTAATGTCTGCTGACTTATCTTTCCAGTCCTTCTTGATCAATTCGATGACATCATCTTTCGAGGCAATCTTACCATCTTTGATAAGTTGTTGTATTCGAGCTTGATGAAGACCGTCGAATTCAGAGCCAGCCCAGCCCTGAATCTTAAGTCTATTACTTTCAAGCCATCGATCAAAGTGCTTGGAATTGATAGCTCCAGTACTAGGAATATCAGATGGGGAGGGAGAGGTTGTAGGACGATCGGGAGAGCCATCGGAAGTAACATAGACAGGCTCCGGAATGAGAGATGGATCACTTCGAATCTTGTCTCGCATAGCTTGCCAAAGTTTTGCAGGGAGAACTGCTTTTCCAGCATAGTCCTTTTCAAGAACAAGGAAATCTGGAAGCAATTTCTGGATTTCTTCCAGAGCATTTTTGTCAATTGAAGAACGATGCTTGAGGAACGTTATATCAGCTTCCGCAGCATCCAGACGGCGGTATACTTCCTTGAGATCCCCCGGGGCGAATATTCGAGTGGGATGTTTGATTTGCGATGGGATAAATTGTCCAATATTTGACGACATGTCGGTGCCATACCAACGTAGGCTAGGCTCGCCACTATTCAAAAAGATAGTCCATGCAATGAAGGCAATGAGGCCAAGAAGAAACATCGGTATTAAAGACTTGGTGATATCGCCAAAAAGATTGAAGAGGCCCTTTGTAAGCCTTGCAAAACTATAGATAGTCAGTTTGATTCCATAGACAGCCGGATCAATTTCACTTACAGCCTGAACGGCCATCTTAAACCCTGTCCAACGTCAACAACAGTTCTATCCCTAAGCTCTAATATCGGCCCAGTTGGAGCACCACCCCGCATGTATTGCTGCTCTTCCATGATATCTCGTAATGCAGTACGACGGTTTAGCTCGTCTTCGTCCAAAGGGGTGGAGATATGAAAATCATAGTCTTGTTGTTGGTATGAATCAGACATAATGCTAGCATTGTCGTACAATTGACTCTCATTCTGGAAATTTCGATTGGCGCTTGGAGGAAGCCGTCGTTTGACAGGTCCAGTCCTCGAGCGCATGGAAGGAATGTGAGCAGGAGCATAAGGGACTGGTTTGGCAGGACGAGCATCAACTTATAAAATTAGCCAAAATTCCGATGAAAAAATAGAATTGGGTGAGACTTACCATCAGGAATTGATTCCTCAGGAGAATTTGCTCTAGGTTTGGTTCCCTTGCTAGAAGATTCTGGCTCTAAAAGACCTTCAATGACAGAAGAGATGTCGTTGGCCAATGGGGCCGCTCTTGGACCATAATTTGGGAGTGCAAGTGTATTTGTACCATACGCAGTACTTGTAGAAGCTGCCACAGGAGGGGGACCAGCGCCGCGTTCCGAACCAATCACTGAGCCAGCCGATTTTCTAGGACGTCCTCTACCTGGTGTTCGAGCTGCTGGTATATCTTCAGGACCAACAGCATTAGATCCGGAAACACTAGTAGCAGTGCGGCTACCAGCTCGAGTAGTACGTCTTGTAGACATTATTTGCTAATTTGTTGTAAACTTGCTATCTTAGCAGCGATATTGTGAGACGATTAAGAAGTATTTGAGGAACTCGAGATTGAAATTGATATCTGCAGATGTATGAGTTAGTAAGAATTGATCAAATTTTCGAGCGATAAGATCTATATAAGTAGCTCAAACCAATGCACGCAGCTGTTTTATCTAGAATAAATGAGAGAGAACGGAAAAGTGCCTACCTTTGAAGCTATCGTGATGCGCAATATGCACTGCAAATATTCTCGTCTTGCAGATTCTAGAAGAAAGCAAGAAGCAAAGAGCAAGGAGATATACTGAGAGAAGACTTTGGAAGTACTGTTGCTTCTTGATCCTGCAAGCCCGTAGCTCTTGTGAAGCTATTCGGATGAATCTCGAGAATGAGAACAATGAAAGCGCAGATTCACTTTTTCGCACAAAACACGGTGGTAATTTCTTCGTCTACGCGTCTCAATAAGAAGCAAGATCAATAAAATATCTCGTGAAGCATTTGAATCGCATGCGCAGTAATTATTATGGTTGATTGTATTCTTTGGCGCGTGTTGATATATTGGAGTTCACGATATCGCGGAACACATTGAACGACACAATAGCTTCAAAGGCCATTTAAGTTAATGATGCAAACGGAGTTTCTCGCTAGGAAATTGAATAAGACCTTTTTTTTCTTAATCGAGTACAAAGTAATGATTGAATTCAGTCAATTGAAATGAAATGTTTAGAATACAAAGAATGTTTTTTCTTTGATTATTTGTGTTTTCTTTTCCCCATTCCTCGGTGTTGATTCTTTGTCCTATGAAGATTATGGAACAAAGCAAAGCAAGTCAATCAATCAATCAGTTAGCCAAATCTGCAAGCTTAATGCCTCCCTCATTACTTCGGACGGTTTGACAGCCATGTGACCATGACGCTGGCTCGGCTGGGATTAATTGAATCTGCCGTATTAGGTCAGATCAGGCACAATTACTTCATGATTACTAGGTGAGTGTTCATACGCAAATACCTGTAAGCCTGTACATCAATTCGATATCACAATATAAAATATGTTATCATTGATATTGATTAAACTTCAATGTCCTGGATGATATGAATTCATTTCTGCAGCTATAAGTCAATTCATCCTACACAAGAGCCTCCTTAGTCACCCATCTTGTTGATTGAAATCAGAAATGTTTATATGAATTTTCAATTACCACTACGAATATAACACGATTTGTGTTGGACATTCATTGTGATTTCATTGATAGATATATAGCTATATTAATGAGACTGTGTGTCAGTAATCATTGAGCTAGTGCGACTATACAGGAGCAAAAGGGCAGGCTATTTACTGCTGCTACCAGAATTATATCATAAGATTCTCACCATGCCATGTGCAATTTATTGCCAGTGAATTATTACTCTTAACACAAACTCTCCATTTTCTTTCAGCTTTGTAAACCTACAGTAACCTACTTATCATTCCAATACGAATCCGATCCAAAAATTCTCATTTCCGTCCTCTTCCCAATCTCAAATGCCTTCTTCGCAGCCCTCGTAGCATTCTCCCTCCACTCCTCAATAAACTCCCTCGCTCTCGCTCTGTCCTCCCCAAAAAGAATCTCCTGCTCCTCCACCACCTCTGGCGCATCCCACCTTCTCAAGCCCAGCAGCGCATCCGACAATGCCCCCAACGAATCCAATCTCACACACCCCAGAAATCTATACGGGATACGTGAATTAAAAATCGGTTTCCCGCTCTGTGTCGCTTTAGGTGGCATACACGCTACTCGCGCCAACGTAACATCTTGTACTGTCCCCGCTCCATTATCCGTATTCGGAAGCGTAATATGGTCTTCCGCAACGCGAGACATCCAGGGGAGAATGGTGCGGCGTTTAGGCATATCAGGATAGCGGGGTTGAGCACCGTGAAGATTTGGGGCATAGTGAAACGCGCTTCGCCGTGGAGACAGGGTACTGTTTCCCAGTTCAGTCGCAGGGTCGATATACTTGGGATGCGTGTTACAGCACCGCTTTTTTTGTGCTCTTCAGGTATTCCTGCCCACCAGTTTGCGAGAACCCCGGGTTTGTGAAAGCCAGGGACGATCTTAGTACTGTTTTTAGGAGCTTCGTCATCGAGACTAACAGAGCCTTGGACTTGAGCATTTATGTTAAATTCCCCTTTCAAAAGCTTGTTCACATTTTGATCAATGTGTTCAAAGCTACCTGTTGTAGGGTGATCTTTATCAAACTCGGAGTACTTTGCATAACTAGGATATGACAATAAGCTCGCCCAATGATCTGGTCTTAAGGCTGTGTAAGTGGCGTAATTTACGGGATCTTGTGATACTAGCTGTTGTGCGATAGAATGAAAAGCTGTTGGGAGCCAGCCTTCGTTTTCATTTCCATGGAAATCATGTCGAGTGTGATGTTTATACATCTCCAGATCTTCATCTACAATGCGAGCTACTTCTCCATCATTTACCATCCACCACCATTTGAAAATTGGGATATTCACAGATCCCTTCTCGTCCCAGGTGCGAATAGCAGCCTCAGAATCCCAGCTGACCTCTCTTGTAACATCTGACGACAATAAAAATAGAAGCGTTCTTTTTAGAAAATCCTCGTCAAAAAGTCGCTCTTGAATGGTCCTCGGTGGCCAACTTGCTTGCTTAGCAAATTTGTAATGTCCCAATGCATCACACTCTTGTTGTACTCTATGTAAATCTGAGAACCAACCACTCGCTTCGCCGATCTTAAGTGCCCTCACAGCATCTTCACCATTGAGACGTGCCGTATTTAAAGCTTTCATCCTATCATTTAACTCAGCCTGTTTGCAGTATTTGACTTTGAGACCAGACAGAACAGCTATTTTCCGTTGGTGCCTTGAACAAATTCGCGCCAGGTTTCTGACGGTAACATTGAGCATAGTCATAACATCGTTGAGAACATTTAATGGCATACGGCGCCATTTATGCGTCCGGTATAATGTATCAATCTTTTGACGAAAAGATACTGTGCATTGACAGGAAAGGAGCTGATGAGCTGTATCGGAAAAGTTTGATATCATAGACTCATCCGAGTCACTATCAATAGAAGGCGAAAGCTCATTCGCTTCCGCGTCAAATCTAATGTATCTTGATAATTTTCGAGAAGAGTCATTGAGTCTGGTGTCAATGCTGATAGACTCAGTCCCGTTCATCCCTTGAACACAGAATAGCTCTGATGCACCTTCAATATGTGGTGTATCTGGTTGTGAATATAAACCATTTTCCTCCCACAGAGTTGTTCCATCAAGAATCTTGGCGGAGATATTCATTGAATTATCTTGATAGTGTGCTTCAATCATATCGCCATATAATCCTGTTGATAGATTCCTACTCAATTGTAGATTTTCATAGATTGATTTAGGGTGTCTCCGGGCCTCTTCAATGTTTATCGCCCTCTCACAATCTGATCCTTGCAATCGCTTTCCATTCCTTGATCCCTTTTTGGATGTCAAAAGGCGTTGAATTAAAGCATTATTTAATCTATGTAGAGCATCCGGGTAATGTGGAAACTTCTTTGCTACTCTTGCCAGATGAAAAAGAAAATTGCTCGTCTGTGATGAATCCTCCACCCAAGAGCACACTTCCTCATATTTCGACCATCTAGCTTTTATATAATTAATTCTTTCTATGCGGCGCTTGCGATTCCGAGGTATATTTTGCTCTATCCCTAGGCGAAAGTATAGAAGTTGATTGTCGAGAGTCTCTTCAGTGTATTTATCCTTCCACCAATCTGGATTGCTTTTAAGTATTTTAAAGACAGTATTCATATATTCAAATATATCATCTTTGTTGACATCTAATGCCTCAAGCATCTCAAAGCAGTAAGTGGTTTTCTCTTCATTACTTCTCATGTGAGCTATCGATTCAAGAGAATTCTTTAAATCTACCACCCCTGGAACACGCTCTTTTTGACTTGAAAGAATGGGTTGTGCTTGTGAGGATGTGTCCACCGCGTTGCCATTTTGATTTGAGCATTGCATCTTGAGCTTTAGAGGTAAACTTTGACACACGTTGGGATAAATAATTTGTCGAGGGCCAAAGTAAATATAGGAGAAGGTAACTAGTGCAATCAGAATGCGGTAAAAGCGAAGAAAAGTATCATCAAAAGCAACAACTCCAAAATGAACCTCTTCGCTTTCATCGACATTTGATTGGGTACTTTGATCAAGCTTGTAGACAAAGAGTTGGCATTGTGAATATTTAGTTAGGAACTCGATCCCTCCCCGCTTTTTTTACTGGAAATGGTAATTATCTTGTAGTATCATTCAGATACAAAGGTTTAGAAAACATGCATCAAAATAGACAAAGGAAAAGAAGGTCAAAGGATGTGGGTGAATACAAAAATGACGCGGCAACTGGTGGAGCTATAACAAAACAAAGAATCATGAAAGAATCTTAGCAAGAGTCTTTGTGCTATCGGTCAAAGATACAAGAATAATGGCGTTGAAGAACACACCGGTATAGCTTGATACAAAGAGTGATCAGTGGAGGATATGTACGTCCCGATGGCAGAATAGTAAATTCTGAGAGACCATGTCGTATGATGGAATGGAAGAGGACCGTATGAAATCGAATCCTTGATTGATTCCAGTACTACGAGATGTTTGTTATCTGCAAGCTATCTCCTAGAACTTTCATAGGTGAAGTCTTTGTGATTGATTTGAATTGACGCTCCACTGGCTAGAATAGTTGGAATTATGTAAGCGCTAGGTAGGTTCCTCCTTCCCGAGGTCATCCATGCATGTGATTCTGTGTCACCAGCCACAAGCCACAATCTCAATAGATAAGCTCCAAATCAAAATGAAATAACGAACTTCAAAGTTCAAAGAACAAGCCAGAAGATCAACAGTAGTGGACCCATCTCATTTCTCCATTTTTCCACCCCTACTCCATACAATTGGCGTACGCTGGTTTCAGAGAAAGTCGTGATCAAAGCATAAAACACTTCGATAACGTCAGCCTCAGCCAATTTTGAATCATTAGTTCCAAACTTCAGATGGAAGATTTTCTTTCCTCTCTTCCATAAATAGATATAAATAGATGTTGATCTAAATATACCGAAGAGTCGAAAGTTAATGACATTGGCATTGGCATTGATATTGATATCCGTCCGTTACTCATGCCTCCTTCCTGCTTCCTCCCACTATTGTCCTCCCTCAGACGACAATGAAGGATCCAGTATATTGCTAGTCCTGCTACTAGGTATCACCCGTTGACGGCAACACTATCCCCGCGGGTCCTCGTTAGCTACTTATTACTCGTAGAAATGACTCAATTAATAGCGGCAGTCTCGTAAAGGTTTTTGCTATGTCGTCTTTCATTCGAGCGGATAATGGAAATTAAATCGGTGGCGGAGGTATGAGAAGTGGAAATAAACCTGGTACTATGAGTAGATTCTTGTACCGTACTCCGTACCTGTTCTAACCACATGCTATGCTTTTACTCCGTGTAGTAATATGTTGTATGAGAATTACTATGAAGCTGATGGCTAGTCGTTGCTACTGTTATTGCAACTGTTACCGGTACTGTGAGTGTGAGTGTGAGGGTGAGTGTGAGTGTGAGTGTGACTGAGTATTCCTGTTACTCAACCTCAATATAATTTCATGCATCTTTCCTTTTCCTCCCTCTGTTCTGTCCTGTGTCCATCCGCAAATTAGATATGATTATCATTACTCAAGTAACCGCGGATTAAATTTCCATGTATCAACAAATATATCAACAATCTATTAGCAACCTCGCAACTTAAAATTTCATGAGGCAATCCTCGTTAATCCCTGGCACATCCAGCAGTTTCGAATCTTGCCCCACCATCGATCTGCAGGCCCCCCGATGACCGAGAATCTGACATTTAATTTATTATTCCTCTCTCTCGCTGTTTGTTATTAACAAAACTCTCTCCCAACTTTTTTAAAATAAAGATTCAAAGAATAATACAATTTCATACAGCAACCATGTCAGTTGGAACAGTCTTAATCACCGGGTAAGTTGTTTTCCTATAATACTTCGACTTCTCAAAATCTTCAACGGTCGTTCGAGTCCAGACAAATTGTTGGAGAAACTGGGGAAATCTCGAAATTTAACCCCGCCATCCAACCATTAATCGATCAATGATCCAACCACCAACGGTGAACTATTTACTAATTGACTCTTTTTCATAGAGGTACTGGATACATCGGTTCTTTTACAACTTTGGCCTTACTTGAACATGGCTATCATGTTGTGATTGTTGATAGTTTATACAATTCTTCCGTTGTCGCATTGGATCGCATTGAAATACTATGCGGCAAGCGACCAGATTTCTACCAAGTCGATATTACAGATGAGGCAGAGTTAGAGAAGGTCTTTGCTGCTCATCCAAAGATTGACAGTGTCATTCATTTTGCTGCTTTGAAGGTGGGTAGATGCTATATCTCATGACTAACATCTTTCAACTAACCAACTCTTGTGCGACAGGCAGTTGGAGAATCTTCCGAAATCCCACTCGAATACTACCGCGTTAACGTTGGTGGAACAATCTCTCTTTTGAGATGCATGAGCAAATATGATGTCACCAACATCGTCTTCTCCTCATCTGCCACCGTCTATGGTGATGCGACTCGGGTTCCAAATATGATTCCGATTCCAGAACATTGCCCAATTGGACCCACAAACCCATACGGACGTACCAAGAGCACAATCGAAGATGTCATCACTGATCATGTCAATGCGCAAAGAAATAATTTGAAGAAGAAGGGAGAGAAATATGAGCAATGGAATGGTGCATTACTGAGATACTTCAACCCCGCTGGTGCTCACCCAAGTGGTATCATGGGCGAGGATCCTCTAGGTGTCCCATTTAATCTCTTGCCATTGTTGGGCCAGGTTGCTACTGGAAAACGAGAGAAGTTGCTCGTATTTGGTGATGGTAAGCAATCTCCAGTCTTCTCCGCCCCCCACTACAATTCTCCACCCTCCCACTCTATACTCTCCAGCCTCGGTTCGGCCTGCCTCCAGATTGAGCAAGAGCTAACAAAATTTTCTCTCTAGACTATACTTCTCGGGACGGTACCGCTATTCGCGATTACATCCACGTTGTCGATTTAGCAAAGGGACATCTTGCCGCTCTAAATCACCTCCGCGAACAACAACCAGGTGTTCGCGCATGGAACTTGGGATCTGGTCGTGGATCTACCGTCTTCGAAATGGTCAAAGCATTCAGTCATGTTGTAGGACGCGACCTTCCATATCAAGTAGTTGAACGCCGAGCAGGTGACGTTCTAGATTTGACTGCCAATCCTACCCGCGCGAATGAGGAATTGAAGTGGAAGACTGAGTTGACATTAGAAGATGCTTGTGAGCATTTGTGGAAATGGGTTAGCAATAACCCACAAGGATATCGTCAAGATTTTCCGGAGAATCTTTTGAGTGATTATAAGGAGAGTTTGAAGAAGAATAATTAGTGTGGGCAGGGCCTATTGAGCACAGTTTTTGCAGTTTGAGGAGACTTTCATGATTAATTTTGGGCATTTACATGAGGTTATATTAGTTATAGATATCAAATAAGTTCATTCACGACCAATTAGAGAATAAAATTAGAAGCAATTTTCCCACGATCTATGTCTTTGGGTAGAGAAGATTGATGTGTGTGTGTGTGTGTGTGTGTGTGTAGTCGTAGTATTTATCTCGGGAGTAAGTGAACGAATGATCAAGTGTGATAAATGAACAGGGTTAAAAGAAATAGTCATTATCTGATACGTAGGATGTCATAGTAATGAGCTTATCAGACATAGAGTTGCGGGAGCTAGAGTAGTATTGCGATCAAGTAAAGTAGCGTTGAATAAACTCACCGGGAGCTTGTATAGTAAGTGCTTGGACGGGACCAGAAGTTGATTAGTGGAAGGGGAAAGGGAAAGAGAAAGAGAAAGAGAAAGAGAGGCTCATCGGGATCTGGGTGGAAAAGAGAAGGAGCGGAATAAGGGGAGATGAGAGGAGGGTAGGGGAATGGATAAGGGAGTGGAATGGGTTTGAGGGGGTGGATGCAGGGGAGGGGAGGGAGGGGAAGGATTACTGGGAATCTTGGAAAATATGGGGTGTGGGTTTTAGGAGGGGCTTGATTACCTAGTAGGTAGGTAGGTATCTCTTCGGTTTCTTGTTTTTACGATACCTATTCAGACATTTTTGGATAGGTTTAGGTTTTATGTTGTAGGGTTTAGTTATTAAAACGCTTATCTAGCCGTTTTGTTACGATGATCACGATTTAACTGTTTACCAGGTAGTTATGTGTTTTTCATTTGAAAATTATATAATCCTACTCTGTATCTTACATTTTTGACAAGATTACGTCGAGAATACCTAGCTAGGTATAATTATCGTATATATTTCTTAATCAATAAATCAAAAGCCTCAATCACGCAAGTGCGGGGTTCCTTTCTTCTTTCCAGGCAGGGGTACCTAGCTATGACAGCTCTCCCCAATATACGAGTAATTATCGTACACAGCTGATTGTTAAGCATCCGATTGTTAAGCATCAGTGATGTGACGAATCGTATCTATACATCCGCATGTTAATGTTGGGGGTTGTTATATCGTAAGTTAGGTAATAAATAATATAAGTAACAGTATCTCATCCACTTTCCCATTTCCTCTCTACTTACTCGTAGGTATCCTAATCCTTTCCATGTCTCTACGAAGTGTCGAACTCCCCATTCGCAGAATCACAGGTACAGCTACAGCTACAGCTACCCACACGAACAATCGTATCATCTCGCATAATCTTACCCCACGTACATTACCCCTCCCGTTTGCACGCTGCGCATCCTCATACCGCGCGGAAACTTTTCGTGCGATTACCGGTACTAGACCATTCGTCGCGGCGAAGTGTGAGAGTAGAAATTACGGAAATCGAGCGGCGCAGATGCAGAGCAGAAATATGTCGGAAATTCCAAAGATTATGAAAGGCGTGGTCATTGAGAAGACGGGGGGCGTGGAGGTTCTGGATTAT